AACAAATGCTGGTTGAAGTGTCTGGCATTTCCAGTGTTCCTGAAATGATTATTTATTCATGAAAATGTCTTCTTAGTTAAGTCATTAAAGCTAACAGCAGAGACTGTTCTGTTCCCTCCTCATGTGTCAGGGGTGCTGTCCTTGGGTAACTCTGAAGCTCACAGTAACAATGTAAAGACCCAAAGTGGCAGAATCAAATTAAGCAGCGAAGTTGAACCAAATTAAGCACTGTTTATTAATTATTTATTTATAGCTCACCATATTCTAGAAGGATTTATGGCACTTAGAATTTCATCTCCAGGGTTGAGAAATAGAATAATATCTTTATAATTCAGTTATATTTACTATATGTATTAAACAGATCTCCTGGAATAAAAGGAATATTCTGATATTACTTGGGGCAGCTAATAAGAGGAAAGTAACATCATGTGTGCATCTCTCTGCCCATTCATCGCTCTATCCCAGGACAAATGAAAAAAGCTATAGTTAATTTTATCTCCTAAACTCAGATTACAATAATTTTTTAAAGTACTATCATGGGGAATAAAGATATGTTTTAGTTAGAGGGCTAAAAGCTAAATATTAAAATGCTATTTTTAAGTGCTATTAAGGTTGATCTGTTTATAAATATGTTACTTCAGTGAACTTGGAATCATTTGGTTTCTAAAAAATCCTCCTTTGGAATTTTAAGGCACATACAAGGAAACTTAAAAAAAATCAATACTATGAGATGACTAAATGTCTACTTTCTGAATGATTTTATGAGTATAAGACCTTCCTGATCAGTAAAAACAGTATCAGTGGTTCTCAAACATTGGTGGACATCAGAATCACCTGGAAGACTTGATAAAACACAGACTACTGAACCACAACCCCAGTGTTTCTGACCCTGTAGTAGGTCTGGGGTGAAGGCTTAGAATTTTTATTTCTTACAAGTTTCCAAGTGATGCTAATATGGCTGGGTTGGGGACCACATTTGAGGACCACTGGCTTTGTATATGGTCAGAGACAACTGAGGTTAATTAACGTTATCACCTGGAAATTTGCTGCTCTAGTGGACTGACTAAACACTTACTTACATAAACACAACTACTGACAGAAATGCAACAAAAGTTCACCAACCATTTAAGCAGCTAGAACAAAATTTAGATTAAAATGTCAGAAGAAAATACTACAAATACAGGGTATATGCCTATGAAATATATAATTGAATGATTTAAATGTCTTAAATGTTAGAACATTAGTTTATTTTCAGAAGTTTTGCTTCCTATTAGGAATAGATCCTTAAAATTCCTTTCATATTAAATAAAAACAGAGGACTTTCATATTAAGTAAAAAACAAAAAAAGAGGCTGTTTATTTCTTATGTGTTTCTAATACTCTGTAATATTTAGAAAGTTCTTATAAGACCAGTATATTTATTAACCAGGTAACTTTTGTATTGTGCAATTCTATAAATAATTTGGGAAGAATAAATTAACTTTTAACAATAATAAAATCCTATATCTTTTTTTCAATAATAGATAAACATTAATAAGTTAATTATCTCCTTCAGCAAACATTGATGTAGTTGGGTCGTTATGTTGACTGCTAAGAGAAATCTTGGTTTTATAAATCTGACAAAAGTTAAAGCTTAGTATGCTTTATTTTTTCAAATAATTGGTTTGTAGACAATTGGTGCTTCATATTTGATGAATAAAGGAAATTAGGTTATAATAAAGCAGAGCTGTCAATATTTTCCCCACTATATGGCCTTCAGAAAATCTGTAAATGTATATACAAATTTGGAAATGCAAATGACTTGTTTCCCTGCCTCTCTTGAAATATGCTGACCTTGGCTAAAAGATAACAAATATCATTAAAAAGTACAAAGCCTGTGAGATAATTGTATATATTTTTCCAAGAACAAACCAATCAGATTTGTTTTCTCTCCCCATTTTGCTATACTACAGCCTCACAGTCTACCTAAACACCTCTGGAGGGAGCTTTGTACCTTTTAGGACATTATTGTTTGAAGACAATCTGTAACTTGGCTACAGTCTTGAGTAGCAAAATGCTAAAACCCTGAAGAGGTCAAAGATGCTGTTCCTCTGGTTTGCTTGTAGATAGGACAACTTGTTTACAGCAGTTACAAAATCCAAAATAAGCTAATCATAAGCTAGTAATGTCCACTGTTGTGCCTTATGGTTCATAGTTAAGCATGTATAAAGCTTTGATGACAACTGCAAAGAAGCTGTGTTTGTGAAAGTTTCCTGAAGTGCCAGGAAAGCTGCATATAACAGGTAGTGCAGTAAAGTAGGAGTGTGGAATTGGAAGACGGACTTCCTCAGGATGAAACCTAACTGCCACTTCCTGGTGTTGTGAACTTGCGCAAGCTGTTTAACATTCCTTTGCCTGAGTTCTTCATCTCTAAAACACAGATTCAGGAAATAATCGTACCTTTCTCATACAGTTGCTGGGAGAATCAAAAAGGTTAATATATGTAAAATGCTTATGTAAGTCCCTGACTATTTGGTATTATACATATCGTACATATATATGTATAATATTACTTATTTATATATTTTATTATATAAACATAAAATATTTTATATTTACTCATAAAATATATATATTTATTATAATTTATAATGAATAGTATATGAGTTTCAGCAAGTATCATCACTTTTTATTTCCTTCATTTTTATGATCATTCTATGGTTCTCTTTATTTCCTATCCTATCTTATATCCAGTTTCAGTGCTGCCGTATTTCTACTGACTCCATTACTCTTATCCCTTAAAACCTTAATTCTAAAGTTAGACATTACCTAAATATAAACTGTTATAATATTCTTAAACATTGTAATACTAGTTAAAATCATTCATTAATTCACTGCTTTACTGAAACACAGATACAAATGTCTCATTTTTATCATTTTATCTTCTTTTTGATGAGTAGATTTGGACCTTAATACTAATTTACTACACCATTCACTCTGATATACACTGAAACACAGGATAATGAAAGTTTAATTATCATATACTTGGTGGAAGTTAAATGTTTATATAAAATGGATACCAAATGGAAATAAAATGTTTCTCCATTTTGTGCATTTACAATGATCCCAATATCTTGCATCTTCTTTTATAATAAATACATTTCCTAGGCTAATTTTCAGACCTTGAAGCCTTGGAGACCACTGAAATTAATAAATTTGTTGTAGCTCCAAAAGTTTCTTGGCTGATCATTACATTGCCTGGCTGCAATGGGGAAAGGGCCATTGCTGATACTTGTGTATTTACCAATCTATCTTCTTTAATCATAATGAAAGAAGATGAAGGTATCATGGAAAGTGGCTTTTGTGTAATGCCATCAACTGAAATGATTTCCATTAGCCTTCACAGGCGTTCACAGGAATCAGACATTAGAAAAATCCCTCCTAATTCAAGATTTGGACTATCCTTCTTGTATTCAACTGGTACTTGTGGTGAAGTAAATTATTGGCTCTAATTACCTACGTACATCGATGATCATTGCCATGTAACTGCAAGTTCTCCCACTCAAGGTGAAGTCTACTCCCCTGTCACTTTTCTTTGGGCTTGACCATTTGGTGTACTTTGACCAACACATGTGGATGAAAGTGCTAATGTGACATTTCTCAGCCTAGCCTTTTGTCTTGCTCAACTGCCATTGCCATGAGAGGAGATTCCACTGAGAAGCTATTTCCCCCTCAGTCTGGTTCTCAGAATATGCACATGTGGAAGAGAAGAAAGCCTGACTTTTAGCAAGAAGCCAATTCCTGTGGTATGTGCAACCTGAGCAGAGTTTTTCATTAAAGTCCAGTCCAAATCAGCTGATCCTTGAGTGACCTGCATATATCTGAGAAACATTATTGTTGTATGCCACTGATATTTTATGATTATCTGTACATAACAAAAGCTGACTGACATACATTTAGTTTCAGGATTATCAAAAAGGCATTATCTTTTCAAAAATGCTAGAAATAATTCCAAAGATAATTGTGCCAGATGACATGCTTGTATATACATTGTGGATGGAACTAGCAAGATTATTTTTAATGCCAATGACATTTATGAATGCTAATTATGAAACACTATCACATATAATTAATAAAGGAAATTTATATTTTGTGTTCCCTAAGTGGCACTATAGGAAAATACGTAACATGTGCTCATTAAGTTTGTGGTTATGATTTTAATCACTGAAATGATGTCAATGAAATGATGTCAATGAAATTGTATAACTGAAAAATTCAACCAACCAAATAACTATAAATTGCATTTTTTGATTGATGGATATTAGAATTTATAAGGTAACTCTAGTGACTTAATTGTATACTATTTGACAATAGTATATTATAATAACTATTACATATTATATATTATATATATTATATATTATATATATTAAATATTATAACATATTTAATCAACAGAATTGAAACAAGTATTTGTTGAAAAACAAAGAAGATTTTAAACAACTAATAGTATTTTCAAAAGAGCTCGACAAATGTATTGGCCATATGAAATTGAAATAAAAAACAATTAAGTTTCCAAATATTAAAAAAATTCTATATGATTCTCATCTAAGATGAAAGCAATGATGTAAGTTCAACTATGTAAGAAAAAGTTTTTAAAATTGTATTTATGACCACTTACATTCCAACACTTTGTGTTGATAATGCAACTAAACTTTAAAAATCTCTTTGATTACCATTTAGCATCAATTGCATGGAAATCTTTCACAACTTCAGTATCTTTTAAGAGACAGACAATTAATGGTCCATTTTACAGAATAATAGAGCTAAACTATATTGAGTGAAATAAGATATAGTTACATGGGAATAATGATGGCATTACCAACTGAAACTGGCTGATTTTAGTATAGAAATATGATTCATAAAATTTCATACAATTTAACCATTAAGTTGAATTGATAATTATATTTAGAGATCAATTCTAAAATGCTAATTAAAATACTATTGAAAGTCTTTTCAGTATGAGATTTTCATATATTCCACTTTATTATGCTTCAAACGTGGTAAACTGCTAAGGAATGGAGTTATTTTTAAGAGATTCTATCTGTGCTGAGTTCAAAAGAATGCCCACTCTCCATAAATATATAGTAAACAAAGGAAATGCATCAGAAAGTTGGAAAATAGTTTCATCATGCTTCTGAAGAAATTTCTTGATTTCTTGGTCATCATGACCTATACTTGAAGTGTTGCCTTCTTTGGTTTCCTTTTGAAGAAGCTGCTCCAGAACCCAGAACAGGTAGAAAATGTTTTCATAGCGTGACACATCATAACTCGCTTGCTCCTACAAATAAACAACAAACTCCTTTAAAAATTTGGCTATAAATTACCTAAGAAAAATGTCATATGAAGATACCAGATTTTCAGGCAAAATACAAATATTTGATATATTTAAAACCTTCTGTCATCCTGTCACTGGTGAACAATGGGGAAATTTAAAACATTTCCTTTTTTCAAAGACTTTACAATCATGGTGAATGACTTTTCTTTCTTGCTAGTTCATGAAGCTCCAAATCCCTTCCCTGCTTTCTTGCAGAGAATACTCAAATGAATCTGAGAATACCTGGCAAGGAGTCTTACCAATGACTTGGCAAGGAGTCATACCAGTGCTAAATTCAGTCTTTTGCCAAAACTTTTTAATTCATGGGACTTATTTTGATTGATATAAAACAATCCTAGAGTAAGTAGAGTCATAGTCTATAGGTGACCAGATGTGATATCATATTGAATCTTCCTGATACAACTCAGGAAGGAGTAGCATTGAATCATATACACAGTCATGAGAAGAAATGTAGATGCATCTTGTGGAACTTTTAATTTGGCCTAGATGCTTGAATGTGAGATAGATAAGTCACAGAAAGGCCTAAAAATTAGATAATAGCAAGCATAAGATGAGAGAATGGCAGAATCAGTATAAAAATGAAAACTGGCTTTATCATTAGCTAATTAATTATGAAATGTGTCAGAAGCCCGATGAAGTGAGCAGATTGCTTATCACTATTCTACAGTCAAGGAAATGGATCCTCTGAAAAGTAGACTAATTAGAACTCAAATCTGCAGATGCTAACCAGGGACTTTTTTTTATTTTCCTGATACATTTTGTTCAAGTTCATTAAGAAAGTATTAACATTGGGAAAAAAGAAAACTCTTTTAGAACCATTTATGAAATATATTCACTGTATTAATACAAAAATGAAAGAACATTGTTTCAGAGTTGAGACAAATATATTCTTCAACAAGGTGACCCAATAAGCAGAGTAAGATATATACAGGCATACCTCATTTTAGTGTACTTTACATTATTGCACCTCTCAGATACTGCATTTTTTTTCAAATTGAAGGTTTGAGGCAACCCTGCATCAAACTAGTCTATCAGAGTCATTTTTCCAACATGTGCTCACTTTGTGCCACATATTAGCAATTATCACAATATTTCAAATTTTTCATTGTTACTTTATCTGTTACAGTGATCTGCAATCAGTCATCTTTGATGTTACCACTTTAATTGTTTTGAGATACCACAAACCATGCCCACATCAGATGGCGAACTTCACTGGTAAGTGTGTGTGTTCTGACTGCTTCACCAATTGGCCATTATCCATCTCCCTTACTCTCCTTAGGCCTCCTTATTCTCTGAGACAAAACAATATTGAAATCAGGCCAATTAATAACCCTACAAATGGTCTCAGAGTGTTCAAGTGAAAGCTTGCCTATGTTTCATTTTAAATCAAAAACTAGAAATCATTAAGCTTAGTGAAGAAGGCATGTCAGAAGTTGAAACAGGCCAAAAGCTACGACTCGTGCCAAAGTTAACCAGGTTGTAAATTCAAAGAAAGAGTTCTTGAAGGAAATTAAAAGTAAAGTGCTATTTCACTGAACACACAAATAATAAGAAGGGGAAACAGCCCAATTGGTAACACGGAAAAAAAATTTAGTGGTCTGAATACAATATCAAACCAATCACAACATTCACTTAAGCCAACACCTGAACCAGAGAAAAGGCCTAACTCTTCAATTTTATGAAGGCTGAGTAAGGTGAGGAAGCTACAGAAGAAAATTCTGAAGATAGCAAAGGCTGATTCATGGGGCTTAGGGAAGAAGCCACCTTCATAACATAAAATTACAAGGTGAAGCAACAAATGCTGATACAGAAGCTGCAGAAAGTTATCAAGAAGTTACAGGTAAGATAATAAAAGAAGGTGGCTACACTAAACAATAGTTGTTCAGTGTAGATGAAACAGCCTTCTGTTGAAAGAAGATGACATCTAGGAATATTGTAGCTACAAGGGATAAATGTGTGTCTCTGCATGAGAGATGGGTCCCCTGAATACAGCAAACCGATGTGTCTTGACTCTTTATCCAATTTGCAAGTCTGTGTCTTTTAAATTGGAGCATTTAGTCCATTTACATTTAAGGTTAATATTGTTATGTGTGAACTTGATCCTGTCATTTTGATATTAGCTGGTTATTTTGCTCGTTAATTGATGCAATTTCTTCCTAGCATCGATGGTCTTTACATTTTGGCATGTTTTTGTAATGGCTGGTACCGGTTGTTCCTTTCCATGTTTAGTGCTTCCTTCAGGGTCTCTTGTAAGGCAGGCCTGGTGGTCACAAAATCTCTAAGCATTTGCTTGTCTGTAAAGGATTTTATTTCTCCTTCACTTATGTAACTTAGTTTGGCTGCATATGAAATTTTGGGTTGAAAATTATTTTCTTTAAGAATGTTGAATATTGGCCCCTATTCTCTTCTGGCTTGGAGAGTTTCTGCCAAGAGATCTGCTGTTAGTCTGATGGGCTTCCCTTTGTGTGTAAACTGACCTTTCTCCCTGGCTGCCCTTAACATTTTTTCCTTCATTTCAACTTTGGTGAATCTGACAATTATGTGTCTTGGAGTTGCTCTTCTCGAGGAGTATCTTTGTGGTGTTCTCTGTATTTCTTGAATTTGAATGTTGGCCTGCCTTACTAGGTTAGGGAAGTTCTCCTGGATGATATCCTGAAGAGTGTTTTCCAGCTTGGTTCCATTTTCCCCCTGACTTTCAGGCACCCCAATCAGACGTAGATTTGGTCTTTTCACATAATCCCATATTTCTTGGAGGCTTTGTTCATTTCTTTTTAGTCTTTTTTCTCTAGACTTCTCTTCTCGCTTCATTTCATTCATTTGATCTTCAATCATTGATACTCTTTCTTCCAGTTGATTGAGTCGGTTACTGAAGCTTGTGCACTTGTCACGTAGTTCTCGTGTTATGGTTTTCATCTCTATCAGTTCTTTTATGGGCTTCTCTGCATTGATTATTCTAGTTATCCATTCATCCATTCTTTTTTCAAAGTTTTTAGTTTCTTTACACTGGTTATGTAGATCCTCTTTTAGCTCTGAGAAGTTTGATTGACGAAAGCTTTCTTCTCTCAACTCATCAAAGTCATTCTCCGTCCAGCTTTGATCCGTTGTTGGTGATGAGCTGCCTTCCTTTGGAGGGGGAGATGCGCTCTGATTTTTTGAATTTCCAGCTTTTCTGCGCTGCTTTTTCCCCATCTTTGTGGTTTCATCTGCCTTAGGTCTTTGATGATGGTGATGTACTGATGGGGTTTTGGTGTGGGGGTCCTTTCTGTTTGTTAGTTTTCCTTCTAACAGTCAGGACCCTCACCTGTATGTCTGTTGGAGTTTGCTTGAGGTCCACTGCAGACCCACTGCAGACCCTCTTTGCCTGGGTATCAGCAGCAGAGGCTGCAGACATAGAATATTGCTGAACAGTGAGTATTGCTGTCTGATTCTTACCCTGGAAGTTTCGTCTCAGGGGTGTATCCCGCTGTGTGAGGTGGGAGGTGTCGGTCTGCACCTAGTGGGGGATGTTTCCCAGTTAGGCTACTCAGGGGTCAGGGACCCACTTGAGCAGGCAGTCTGTCCATTCTCAGATCTCAACCTCCGTGCCGGGAGATCCACTGCTCTCTTCAAAGCTGTCAGACAGGGCCATTTACCTCTGCGAAGGTTTCTGCTGCTTTTTGTTTAGCTATGCCCTGTCCCCAGAGGAGGAGTCTACAGAGGCAGGCTGGCCTCCTTGAACTGTGATGGGCTCCACTCAATTCAAGCTTCCTGGTGGCTTTGTTTACCTACTTAAGCCTCAGTAATGGCGGGCGCCCCTCTCCCAGCCTTGCTGCCACATTGCAGTTAGATCTCAGACTGCTGTGCTAGCATTGAGGGAGGCTCCATGGGCAAGGGACCCTCTGTGCCAGGTGTGGGATATAATCTCCTGGTGTGACCTCTGCTAAGACCCTTGGTAAAGCGCAGTATTAGGGTGGGAGTTACCCGATTTTCCAGGTGTTGTGTGTCTCAATTTCCTTTGGCTAGGAAAAGGAATTCCCTTCCCCCTTGCGTTTCCCAGGTGAGGCGATGCCTCACCCTGCTTCAGCTCTCGCTGGTCAGGCTGAACCCGCGGACCAGCACCAACTGTCCGACACGCCCCAGTGAGATGAACCCGGTACCTCAGTTGAAAATGCAGAAATCACCCATCTTCTGTGTCACTCACGCTGGGAGCTGGAGGCTGGAGCTGTTTCTATTCGGTCATCTTGGGCATGCCCCTGTGCCACATTTTCTTAATCCAGTCTGTCAATGATGGACATTTGTTTTGGTTCCAAGTCTTTGCTATTGTGAATAGTACTGCAATAAACATACGTGTGCATGTATCTTTATAGGAGCATGATTTATAATCCTATAGGTATATACCCAGTAATGGGATAGCTGGGTCAAGTGGTACTTCTAGTTCTAGATCCTTGAGGAATTACCATACTGTCTTCCACAATGGTTGAACTAGTTTACAGTCCCACCAAAAAAAAAAGTGTTCCTATTTCTCCACATCCTCTCCAGCACTTGTTGTTTCCTGACTTTTTAATGATCACCATTCTAACTGGTGTCAGATGGTATCTCATTGTGGTTTTGATTTGCATTTCCCTGATGGCTAGTAATGATGAGCATTTTTTCATGTGTCTGTTGGCTGCATAAATGTCTTCTTTTGAGAAGTGTCTGTTCAAATCCTTTGCCCACTTTTTGATGGGATTTTTTTTTTCTTGTAAATTTGTTTGAGTTCTTTGTAGGTTCTGGATATTAGCCCTTTGTCAGATGAGTAGATTGCAAAATTTTTCTCCCATTCTGTAGGTTGCCTGTTCACTCTGATGGTAGTTTCTCTTGCTGTGCAGAAGCTCTTTAGTTTAATTAGATCCCATTTGTCAATTTTGGCTTTTGTTGCCATTGCTTTTGGTGTTCTAGACATGAACTCCTTGCCCATACCTATG